ATGTCCTTCGAGTATTGCAAATTCTCACAATCTTTCAATATGGATTCATAAGCTGGCAATTCTTTTATTCAGCTTCTTCACAAACTCCGATTCTGCCTAAATTGATATGTGGAACCACATTTTTTTTCATATGTAATTTGCAGTTTGTCATCCTAAACTGCATCCAGTTATCACAATCTTCTTCCATCTATAAACATAATATAATGTTCATATTTTTAAAATAATGTAAGACAGAAAATAGGTGTTTATAAAATGAAATTTGGCAACTAAGTTTATTTACATTGAAATGATCTTAGCAGCAATAAATTCCACCAGAAATACTAGATAATATATCAACTCTTTTCGCAGCTAAACACCAACTTCTTCTTATTTGTTCATTTTTGGGAACAGCTTTAAAGATTTTCTTCGAATTTAGATTACTGTTTTTATAAAAAGGCACAAAACATTTACGAAAATCCATAGCCAAACAGTGAACAGTAGGTAGGGCTCAGGTGGGTATACTGAAACTGAAATGCATGCTCTATTTGAGACCTTAACATCAAATAATGAGAAACAATGACTTACCTTGAATTTATTAGACGTTTCTTTTAAATATTTTTCTTAAAACCTCGGAAAAACAGTTGAAAAATTCAAAAACTAAATGAATAACGACGACATTCCAAAATAATAACAAAACAACATAACCTCACAAAATTACATATGTGGATGGATTTGTTTACAACTGCTTTGAGCATGCCCGCCTAGTGACGTCATGGGAGAAAAAGACCAACAATTCGACAAGGACAAAAAATGTTTAAATTTTAAATTAATTTAAATAATCCAGGAAACAATTTTCAATACAACCAATATGACATGGCCAAGTTTTAGGCCTCACTATATCGAAAAATAATGGTCAGTATAATTTTAATAATAGGAGGTAACGACCCTATTATCAATATTTTCCATTGCACTAGTTACGGCGGATTTAAACAACATTTGATAAATTTAAGTCGTAATTTTTCATAATTTAATGCATAATTTAATACATAACTCAAAACCCCAGTTTAAACAACTTCATAATTTATTACATAATTTTTGAAATGTCGTTAATATTTTATTGATATTTTGAAATTTGACACTGACAGAACTCGAAAGGTCAAGTTTTTTCATAATTTAAATGCATAAAAGTTAAAAGTTGGGAACTTTCAAGGTTATCCATTATGAACTAAATTATGAATTGAGCATTAAATAGATGTATAAACGCTTCCATAGAAATTAATAAATTTAACTTTAAAGCTTTTGCACTAAATTGTGAATTACGCACTAAATTAAAGTTATGAAGTTGTTTAAACTCGTCTTTATATTACTATTGATAATTTTCGAACCCCACGAAATCAATGGAGATACTGCTTCAAAATTTCAATGGTAGTTAGATATGATCTGCAGCACTCTTTTTATGATAATTTGAGGAAGATAAACCCTTAAAAAAAAGTTCGGCAACTGGCCAAGGTTTTGCAGAGGATTTTTTTCAAATAAAGAAGATAAGTTTGTATCAAAACACAGTAACTACCATTTTATTCATTCAAATTGGACTTAGAAATTCCATTCGCAGGGGTAATAAACGAGCGCCAATTAGGGGAAAATGAAGAATTACCACATGCAGACAATGCAACTCTGTAGTACTCAGATGAATCCAAATTAAAGGTAGGAGCTGGACTGGGCATTTCCGGTCCTAACTTCAAGCTCTCCAAGGCATTGGGCAAACATCTTACAATATTTCAAGCCGAACTGCTTGCCGTAAACATATGTGCACAAGAGTGTCTCAATCAAAGCCTCAAAGGAAGAAAAACACATCTTTATACTATCAGATAGCCAAGCTGCCTTAAAAGCCTTAAGGGCTTTCAGATGCATCTCAAAACTAGTCTGGGAGTGTAAGCAGACCCTGAAAACACTAGCGACACACAACTAGAGCCGCTTTCCAGTGACGAATTTTAAGGTGCTCCACACCCGTAGCTTCACACTCTGGTGCTCCAAGCAACTGTTGTGTCATTGGAACGCACCTACTTCAATGGTTGGGTGGGTAGGGGAGTTGCGCGAAACTTATGCAGTAGAACGCCTCTAAACAGTCCGGGGCACTCTAGAGCAGCTCAGGGCTGCGTTCAGGAGTGGCTACAGCCAAGCCAAAATTGGCATTTTGCGTTCGAGTTTGGCTCCGACCTACGTAGTTCGGCATAACCGGTGGAGGGGGAAAAGTAAGTTTTGGCATAAGCATTGCCGTCTTTGAACACGCCCCAGGAGTGCTTAAAGTGCGTCACTGAAAACAGTGGCGACGCGTAACAAGCAGTCTGAGGGGGGGTAAATGGTACTTGGTTCAAGGGGCGCCTCCTCGTAAATGCGCCGTAGGCGTTTTTTTTTGTAAATTTCAAGGTCATTCACTTTTCCAGAACAATTATATCCTTTGTGGAAAAAAAAATGTATTTTCTTCAATATATTATGTATTTTATTTTGGGCATCGTGATTTTTCTCTTGATTATTTATAAAATAGACCCATCAGACAACGTCATTTTTTGAATGAATTTTGTTTAAATAAGTCATTATTTCACAAGACCTTGTTTATCAGCGATTAAATTTTTGTTTACCTTTTTTGACAGAATTTTGATAGAAATATTCTGACATTTTATAATAAATACAACTCTTTGGATAGGATTGACGCCAACAATTTAATCCTAATAGACCTATCTATTTTACCAGACAAAGAGGTAATAATACGAAAAGTCCATTAGATAAAAAAAGACGCAGAACGCTCACTGCGCAAGACGAGGCAAAACGTACCAAATTATGTTCGACTTACGTATAGCAACCCGTCCTTCTTATTTGCACGGGATGGAAAGGGAAAGAGAAAGACCCCGTGTTGTGCAACTTATTTGTCAATCAAAAACTCAAACAACTTTTGAGTTTCCTAGCAATGATGCGACCTTGAAAATCGATCACTTGTCAAATTGAATATCAACCGTATTTTTATCTTTGTCCGACCACGGGCAATGAACAAGGATAATGAGATGCCCAGCGTGCAAAACGAACACCTCTCACCTGTATTAGTTAGCCAATAAAAATGCATTGCCTCGGGTCGCGCGCGAATACAGGTAAAAATAGATAGGTCTATTATTCAGGAAATAATCTAGCCGTATACCACTCGACCTATAAATTTAAATGGAATAAACTATCCAAATATTTTTTGCATAATTTTGCTTTTTGGCAAATAGTTTCATGCACAATAACTTTTAAATAAATTATTAAGTTATTGTGCATTCAACTATTTTCCAAGCAAAATCATGCTCAAAATATGTTGGATAGTTTAATCGATTAAATTTAAAGCTCTTGTGATAGTAATAACCCCCCAGATGGCCTCGCAAAAGAAGGGGCCTCAACACCATACCATGGACCAGAGCTTGTGGCTTAATGAAAAGCCACATCATGGAAGAACTTAACAAATGGGAGAAAAACCAACTGTCATTATATTGGAGGCACACTCCGCGACTAAGACAGTCAAAAAGGTTAATCACCTTTCCAGGAAAAAGAGCTGAACAGCTCTAAACATGAGCAGACCAGACATAAGAATGGTCGTAGGACTGCTCACCAGACACACTTCCTGGTCAAATACCACTTAAGGATAATGGGCAAAGCAGAAGACGATCTCTGCAGATTCTGCTCAGACGCAATAGAGACCGCAGAGCACCTGCTCTGCGAATGTCCATCCCAATTTTGCAAGAGGCTCAAATTCCTCGAGGGGGCAACACTGTCACCAGAAGAAGTGGGCCAACTGACACCCAGAAAAATAGATTCCTTTGGCAGAAGTCTACGCTTCCTAGAGACAATTTAGGATGTAGAGTTACGTACAAAATATCTGCAAAGGTAACAGTGCTGAGCGGCTGGAATGCCGGAATGACTCCCTCCACAATCTAATCTACATATCAGGGATTTCTTCTGACCCAACATTTAGAATTTTTGATGTTTCTTGTTTGTTTTTTTCGTTGTTGCTTTTTGCATCGTATAGTTTGGAATTCACCGCCTATCGATCAATCAAATTCCCCGTATTTTCGGAATACACGAGCCGCAACGAGACAATACCAACAAAATATAACTGACGTCTACTGTCAAATCGCCAAACTTTCATTTGAAAAAAAAAAAGACTTTTGATGATTGTTATTTCTTACAAAAACTGATGATTTTCTCTCAAAAAGTTCGAAGAGAAAGTATAGTCTTCTACTCGTAAATAATGGCTATTATTCACTGGAATGATTCCAACACTCGCCTTCGGCTCGTGTTTGAATTTTCATTCTCTAATGATTAATACCATCATTATAATAATATATGCTCGTTAAACAATATACTATTTTCTATTTCGGCTTTGATTAAGAAAAACTGTTTTTTTCAACACTTCCACTGTTCAAGTTTTCCAAAATATTTATGAAATTTTTTTGACAGTTCTAACAGCCAATTAAATTTTGCTATTTTTTGTCATGTGATACAAATCACATGACAATCATTTTTATTCTATGACATTGCTGTCAAAAAGAAATTCTATTCGAATAACCGTGCGAGTTTATAAATTCACCAGGTTTATTTCACCGATGTCATCAATTTTTTGATAATTGACAACTGATAATGACATTCATCGAAAAGACTCACCGGCCCCAAGAGTCGGTGAGCATCGATGCCATCAATTGATGAATTGATGAAATCAATCACATAATTTAAGAACTCGATGAATGTTATCGATTATCATAGATGAATTTACGAGCTTCATTGTTTCCATCGGTGAGCTCACCGGTGAATTTTCAAATTCGTCCACCCTCATGACAACTTTCTCAAGCTTGTTGCTTATAGAAAACAAGCTTTCGAAATCTGTTATAAAATTTTTTCGGATAATTATCAATGTCCTTGGGTTATTACTACTGACAATAACCCCCTAGACTGTGATATTTTCTTCTTTGACTCTAATTATTTGTTTTTTCATTCAGGCTACTACTCCGGGACGTATTAAAGCCTTATTCAAAGGCTTCCACAATAGCGCCGGTCGCGACAATAATACAGAGGTAATTAGTTTGCTCTGTCTTATACGCACTTATTTCTATTCCTTCTTTGTTGCTCAACTGTTAGACTTTTTTGGTAGGGGAATGGACCTTCTCTAATTGGTGTATGTATTTTATTTTTAGTTTCTATAGTGCATGGGGGTAACTTTATAATTTCTACCTCATTCTTGTGAATTCTTATACAAACATTTCATCATCATAATTAGACTGGTTTTCATTTGGCTAAAAACCATTCATGGTGTAAATTGGCCTACTACTAACAAGATTATGTGTTGAGTACGCGAAATACTTGGATAAGTATCTTTTTTTATACTCTTAGGCCTCTATGGAGTCTACACGTCAAATGTGCGATATTTTCACTATGTTGACTGCTCATAATCCGATATTTTGAAAGGTAGGGCATATATAAAGAATTCATAAGATTGTGGCTTACCGAATTGAATAGTATTTTATTGTTTTAAATTTATCTATTTTTTTTCCTAGAATGTTACTCCTAAACCCACCAAAAGGACGAGCTTCTTCAAAAGCAGAAGATAAGTCATTTTTGTTATAATTAAGTGATTTTTTAGTCATTAGTTTTTCAAGTTATATCACCATATTTACTAGTGTTTTTTAATAAAAATTATTTTTGTAAGAAATTTGAAGTTATTTTTTAAATAAGGTATGTGCTCTAATTATTATTATAAAGGATGACACTTTAAAAACTTGCAATGGCTATATCTGAGGAACCAAAAAAATTAGGAAAAATCGCTGAAAACAATTTCTGTAAATAATTAATTTAGTGAATCTACCCCACAGGAAAAGTGTACAAGGATTTTCAACATAAAACTTCAAAGCCTAGGCAAAAAAGTACTTGAGTTCCAAGCAATGACGTTCCAAGTTACTCTATCTGAGTTGCGTCCGGACATTGTAATCATCACTAAACACTGGTTAAAGGGACGACGCTATAAATTTGGTTAATCTGGTAAACTATACGCTGTCTAGCTTCAGTGGTCGGAGTATTGCAAGAGGTCATGGTGGTACTGTCATATTTTTTCAAAATTCTTTTGCTTCCGTAAAGATGGTACCAACACAAGTTTCTCGTATGGATGAGGACTTCGAGTTTTGTGTATCTATATGTATCTTGTATTTAGTGTTTTTGTATCTATTTACAGGTCACCCCTTGGTAATGTGCAATTATTTTCACGAAAATTGGCCGAATTATTACATGAGTTTTATAAGCCTAAAATATCAATTATAGTTGGCGGTGATTTTAATTTCAATTATCAATGTCATGTTACGGGATTAATTTTCTCCCTAAAATAAAGGTACCTCCATCTACCAATCGAGTCAGTAAGGTTCATAAACACTCACGCAGTTTTCAGGATTTTATTTTCACAGTACCACCTAACAATAATTGTGCTTATTTATTTAAACCTTTGACTATAAATAATAACAGTTCCCTGCTTTGGTCCAATTACAGATTTCTGCTTTCCCTTCCTCGATGGTACCATGGTACCCAACCTAAAATTGTGACACTTAAAAATTCCCTATTTGGACACCCATGCTTCCGGAAGGGATAGGTTTTTTTTGGTAGAAAGAGGGCAGCTTTTTGAAGAGCACGTTGTGAGCTTCCTCTCTTAGCGCTTTTGCTGATTTTACCATAAGTTTTGAGTCCCTAATTGGATCCCCTTTGTGAGTTGCTGAGATTAAAGCATCACAGTGCCACTAGGCAGATTTTTGGTCAAATTTTAAGGGTTTAAACCTCAAACTTAACCGTTTTCCTTTGTGTGCTGTATCTGGAAAAGGCCAAAGTATTTTGGTAAGTTCTCGTTTCCTACTATTTCTCTTTTGCTTACCCTGTGTGAATATATATATTTTCGTTTCAGGCCTTTTTGTTTTTCCTCTTATTCTTTTCGTGTTACACTGCTACTGTTGTCTTCACCCTTCATCGAATGCTTGGCATCTCCTTCGACAATCTTAAGTACTGATCGCCCACCAACCACCTCAGAACTCAAGAGGACCTAAATCTCCCCATTACCTGCCAACCAGAAAGATTTTGAAGGTTTCCAGACCTCACTCCAAGTCAGAAGTCATCCTGGTCTCTGTAAGACTGGTAACCAACACGTATTTGAGGATTCAATCTGTAAGTCAGTCTGATCACTTGTGTGTGTTGTCCTGGGTCCTGAAATTATATGGTTACACTCCAGCTGAGATAAAGAGTGACGTTCTGTAGCCAAAATATAAACTTACGTCAGTTTCGCGACGTAGCACTGTTCAGCGAAGCAAGGGCTAAGAAATTCCATAGCTGGATAGAGGCCTATAATAACCTTTAAGAAATTTGTTGTTTTATTTTTGCCTATTACAATTATTACCTGATTTATCCATCCTTGTATAACTTTGCACTTTAAGTACACTACTTTACGCCTAATTTAACATCGGGATAACTGTACACCGGGAAAATAGGCCTATTTCGAGGGTAAACGACTATTGATTTGTACATTGATTTTTGAGATCTTTAATGACTAAAATAAGGTTAAAAATTTTTAATAAAATGGTAGGTATAGTATGGTTTTAAGGCAATAGAATAGGTTGTAAAGTATGAACATGAACGCACACCTCGTCACATGACGTAGGTTAATATCAATTGTCAACCTGCGGATTTACAATAAAATCATATATTCAGTGTCCACTAGAACGTCGTTTAATTCACAACCTCCTCCTCCTAACCACATATAAGATAAGACATGGCGTAGTCGGAAATTTTTGAAAATCGGCAATCATCTTAAAAAGTATAGAAGTTTTTTAAAATTTTATGGAATAAAAAGAAGAAAATGGACTTCCGTGGTATTTCACCGATGATATTTTCGGGAAATTTGTCCGAAAATTGGAGATTCTGGAAACAAAGATTCATCATGTACCTCAGAGCCACAGAAATTTCAAAAAAGGATGAAGCTACTCAATGTGCCCAGCTTTTGACCTTAATTGGAGATGAAGGTATGCGTATTTTTAATACTTTCAAAATTGCTGAAGCTGATGAAAACAAAATTGAAAAATTGATTGAAAAATTTGATGCACATTTCTCGCCTAAAACTAATTTATCCTATGAAAGATATAAATTGTTAAAATGCAAACAGAAAGAAGGACAAACTATGGAAAATTATATTACTGAAATCAAGAATTTTGCTTTATCTTGCGAACTTAGGGACTTGGAAAGTTCCCTACTCAAAGATATTATCATATGTGGCATTTTATCTGAATCCTTGAGAGAAAGACTATTGTTGGATGAAAATTCCACGTTGGATGATGTAATTAAAACATGCATCAATTCAGAGAAGACCAAAGAAAGAAACAAATACATCACAAATGGTTCCTCCGCCCATGGTTCGTCAGCTGATCAACATATTGATGCCATATCAAGACTCAGAGCCCCACCAATCAACTTTCATGGTCCTAAAAATAAGGGACAACAGAGAACGAAATGTGGAAAATGTGGATACAGCCATGGACTACAACAGCGCTGTCCAGCAAGAGGAAAACAATGCAAGTTATGTAAAAATTTTAATCATTTTGGTTCTGTTTGTAGATCTTCAAATTCAAATTTTTCTAATAATTACTCAAGTTCTTTTAATAGGTACAATAAATTCAGTCAGAATGATAGAGGTGTAAATGGCAATGGGAATCATGTAAGACATAACACTAAAAAGAATCATTTTAAGTTTCGTAAAAGTATCAATTCCATAGAGAGTAATCGACAAAATTCTGAAGGTGATTTTCTTTTCATAGATAGTATCGTGACATGGCCTTCAACATCAGAAATCCAGGCATCTGAGGTGAATGGAGTCTCAGCAGGCCCTGGAGGAGTGTTGTGGGCTATGGTACTGACAGTTGAACAGCAACACAACATCAATTTCAAGCTAGACACAGGAGCGATGGTAAATGTTATTCCAATTAGATTGTTGCATAAAATTAATTTTGATCCTGCAAAAATTGTTAAAACCCCAGTAACTTTGTGCTCTTATACGCAGGACCGTATTCCAATTGTAGGCAAAGTAGATCTAAACTGTAAACATAAAGAAAAATCATTTTTAATTTCATTTTTTGTCAATACAATGGAAAGTAGCATTCCAATTTTGGGTTTGAAATCATGTATTGATTTGAATCTTATTCAGAGAATAGATAGTCTAGAAACATCAAATACCTTAGCTCAAAGGGATAATAATTTGCAGTTATTGCTCAATAAATATAGTTATTTGTTTCAAGGTCTGGGTTGTTTAGAAAAAGTTTAGAAAATTGAATTAAAAGGGGATGCAGTCCCTGTAGTTCATCCAATTAGAAAAGTTCCTTTTCCAATTATGGAAAAAATGAAGCATTCTTTAGATCCGTTAGTACATCAGAGGGTTATAAAAAGAGTGAATGGTAGTACAGAATGGGTGAATGCATTTGTAATTGTGAGAAAGCCAAATGGAGACCTAAGAATTTGTCTGGACCCAGCAGATTTGAATCGATCAATCAAGAGGCATTATTTTAAAATTCCAACATTAGAGGAGTTGACTCTAAAATTTTCAGGTGCAAAATATTTTTCCACCCTGGATGCTGCTCAAGGTTTTTTACAGGTTCCTTTAGATGAGGAGAGTTCTAAGATGACAACTTTTGGAACGCCTTGGGGCAGATATTGTTTTTTGCGAATGCCATATGGGTTAACTAGTGCCCCAGAAGTTTATCAAGAAAGAATGAATGAGATTTTTGGTGATATTGATGGATGTAGTATATATGCGGATGATTTAATAGTTTATGCAGATTCCCCAGAAAAACATGATAGAATTTTGAAAAAAGTCTTTGAAACAGCTGCAACAAAGGGCATCAGGTTTAATAGAAATAAATGTAATTTTTTTGTTGACAAAGTCAAGTATATGGGACACCAGGTTTCAGAGAAGGGATTAGAACCAGACGGTTCAAAGATTGAGGCTATTAAAAATATGCCTAGGCCCAGAGATAAAACTGATGTGCAGAGATTTTTGGGATGTATAACGTATATAGGAAAGTTCATTAAAAGTTTATCTGTAATAACGGCCCCCTTGAGAGATCTTTTAAAGAAAGACGTAATTTTTCAGTGGTTAGATGTGCATGAAAGAGCATTTTTGAGGTTGAAAGAAATGGCGTGTAAAAGCCCATGTTTGCAATTTTTTGATATACATAAAGTTACAACTATTTCAGTAGATGCTAGTCAAAAGGGAATGGGTGCTGTATTGATGCAGATGGGTAAGCCTTGTGCATATGCATCAAGATCTTTTACAGCAACTCAGCAAAGATATAGTCAAATAGAGAAAGAATTACTGAGCTTTTTTTTTGGCATTGATAGATTTTCTCAATTCATATATGCTAAACATTTCATTGTGGAAACAGATCATAGACCTCTAATTCACATAATTAAAAAGCCACTTAACGAATGTCCTGCTAGGTTACAACGTATCTTGATTCAATTGAGGAAATATGACTTTGATTTGATTTATAAACCAGGAAAACAGTTGATTATAGCTGATACTCTGAGTAGAGCCTTTGAGCAAGAAAAAACTTTTAATGAAAATCTGGATATTGAAGTAGAGGCACATGTATGTTTAAT